AAACTCTGCCCGTCGTGAACATGGAGGATGTTTTCATGGGCATCTGCCTGCACGCACTGGGCCTTGGCCCCACCACCAGCCCCTGGGGCGTCTACAACATGGTCCGGCTGGAGTTCGAGCAGTGCCGGTTCTCCCGCCTGGTGATGGTTCACCACTACCAGCCCCAGGAGCTGCTCAGGATCTGGCCCCGCTTCCAGGAGGCGCCGGCGACGTGTCACCGTTAGCCACGGCCGGGGGCCTCTGAGCCGTGCCGGGGGCCACCGGAGCCTCCCACAGCCTCCGGTGGGACCGGTGCCACCGGGCTGCCATACGCCAGCTTCACCCCCTCTGCTGACTTTCTGGCCAGTCTTTGGCTCTCGAGCAGCCGCTCGGGGCCGTCTCCAAACCTCAGGTCTCCGGGGGAGCCCCCTGTGCCGCCCGCGGCCCCACCAGGGACAGTTCTCTCCCCAAATTGAGCCACCAGTTGAATTGCGCAGCCGGAGCCATGCGTTCCGCTTGCCAGAACGGCTACTTCACTTTATTAATCTTATTAATATTATTATTATTATTATTATTAATAATTGTTTGTGTTCTGAGCCTGCTGGGCTGGATGCTCCGGCCAGCGGTGACACTGGGCCTGTGTTAACTTATAACCAATATTTGTAATAAAAGGGCTGGAGCCAGCCGGACTGAGCTCGCCACCCGCCTCGTCTCTCCCGGTGCCGGCACCGTGCCACCGGTGCTACCCCCCCGCACCGTCCCCTCCCTTCCCACCACAATGGGGGGAAGCGTCCCCACCCCGAAACTCCGGAGAGGGGCGAAGGTCGGGCCTCGCCCGCAACGAGCCCACGGTGCCGGGAAGGTGCCGCCGAAACACCGGCTCACGTCGCCACCGTTGGCTTTGGCCGGTGACTCAGCGCGGCCTCGCTGCCGGCGGCACAAGAAGAGCCATCGGGGTGGTAACGGGTCGCGTTTGGGTCGGGCTCGGCCGCCGGTGCCGAACCAGAACCACCGCTACGAGGTGCAAAGTTTTGTCAAAATAACTGCGCCGCGCCTGAGGCGGCACGTTTACACACATGCAAAGCGCCCGCGGCCCGGGAGCGATAACCGATAAGGCTCCGGCTGTTTCCAGCAGCTCTGGTGTTATTTTGGTTGGAAAAGAGGCAATTTGGGAGCTCAAAATCCCACCTGGCCCATGGCTTTGGTTCAAGAGATGGAATCTGGGAGCTGCCTGCACCGGAGAGGCGCTGGAATATTTGGGAGCAGGAGCTGCTCCTCCACATGGATCCCCCAGGACGGTGCTTGGGCAGCAATCGCCGACCTGCCCCTTTTCCCAGAATTGAAATAATAAACCGGAGCCGCTCCGGGGTTTTAGTTCCGTGGCAGCTTTGAGGAGCGCTGCGGTTAGAGGCGGCAGCTGGCAGGGCCGGGCAGTCACCCCAGAGCCGCGTGGATTATCTACACCAGGAAGTTCCCCGGCAGCGTTTGCCGTAAGCCACCACCAAAAATCCCTGGCGTCGGGTTCAAGGGTCCCTTCTCCAAGGCCCCACCCTGTGCTGGGAACCCGGCGCCTCCGCCCCGACACCCACCGCGGCGCGGGACCGGGGCAGCTGCCGGCGGCTCCGCGCTGACGTTTAACCACCGGCCAAGGAGATAATTTGGTCTTGGCCAAGGACAATCCGGCCCTGCTCGCTCCTCCGGTCGGCGCTCGGGGAAGTCCGTCATCTCCCGGCCAAAGCCCCGGCGGGGTTTAGCCTCAAAACCAAGAGCTTAAGGTCATTAAAATTGCAGGATGTGGAGAATATTTTGAATTTAGGGGGTTTTGGAGAGGCAGGAGCACAGCGGCAGGCGGTGAAACCAGACGGCTGGAGCCCGAGACATCAAGAGTTTTGTGTTTATTTGTCTACATTCAGCTTACTCCAGATGTACTGCCTGAGGGATCCAGGCATACAAAACCCACTCTGTCCCACTGGTTTTTAAAATAAAATCTTCACTTATAAAACTGAAACACTAAAGCATTAAAATACAGAAAGCTCGTTTAACTCACTTCACAAAAGCATTAACAGATGACATATCCCTTATCTATTTAAAGCCATACTGTGTTCACACTTCCATGTCAATTTTTAAATAGAAAAAGGATACCGAAATTGTATTAACGCCAAAAAAAAAAAAAAAAAAATCGTTTTCCTATTTAGACAAAGTTGTAATGGCAACTAACAAACCATTAAATACAGAGATGCCCAAAATACAGCTAAGTATGGAATTACAGGTACTCAACCATTAGTGACCGGTATCACAAAGAGCACTGCAACATGGAAACGGGGCGGGGG